TAACTACTACGGGTTCGTTCGTACTACTACTTACTACTAGTAGTAGTAGTATTACTAACGTTAACGTTAATTACTTTACTTACTACCGTACTACTCTACTCTCTCTCTCTCCTACTATATATATATATATATATATATATATATATATATATATAGGGTGTGGTTTCTCTAAGGTTGCAACCTTAAACAATCCATTTAATGCGCACTTGTAAATTTCATCATAACATATAATTTTGGTGTAAAAAATTATTAGGATTGTCTGAAAATCTATTTTCATATCTAATTATAAAATTTAAACTCCAAAAATGGTTAAAATCAACTAGATCTATTAATATATGACAATCTTGAAAATGGACGTTCTAGATAATGTGTTGTAAGATGCACTATTTTTAAGACAACTATTTTTTTTTCATATTCATACATCTCGATGTCGAGATGATCAATTAGAGGGTTTTTGAACATGAAAATAACCTTTTCCGATGGATTTTTGAGGTGCATCCTTAATTCTACATTTTAAGGTTGCTACCTTTCATAAACTTTTTCCATATATATATGACAATTTATGTATAGCTGAGGTCCTAAACAATCAAATTAAGGCATGCCTAAACAATTCACTAGAAGAAAAGCCCTCAATTCGATCATCTCAACCTCAAGATGTATGGACAAGAGAAATAATAGATTTCAAGTCTTGGAAATAGTGCGTTTTGTAATGTATTATTTAGACCGTCAATTTTCAAGATGGTGAAGTATTCATAGATCTGCTTGATTTACACTATTTTTTAGCTTTAAATTTTATAATTAGAGATGCAAATAAATTTTCAGGCCATCATAAAGATTTATTGAGAAACAACATATTTCAGCACTATTTGAAGGTGCGCCTTACTTTGATTGTTTAGGGGCCTCAGTGGTTGGGTGAAATTAAAATGAATTGTGTGCATGCTTTATGGTCTGTTTGGCAGGAGGAAATTCACTTATCTTGCACCATGCCCTGGCGAACTTCCTAGCAGGTTTCTATTGGTAGGGTCTTTGACCTGGCTTGAAACATAAGGGGCCGCAATGGTCGTGGACTGTAAAGTGTAAACTGTATTTTTTTATCATCTCTGGTTTTTGGTGGATAGTGGCATTCTTTTACACTGCTAAGAAAGTAGTGACTTTTGTCTTCCTTTTATAGAAGCAATATGGTGTGGGTTAGGGGTGGCAACGGGTTGGGTTTGGCTGGACCCGGACTCGGACCCCAATAGTATTAAAAATGCATTAAATGTCCTCAGTTTCTTAGACTTAAAACCATATTTCTTGAAAATAATTCGTATATCCGCCAAAAAATGGCAACACTCCTTATATTGAACATTTCAAGTAGATCTAGCATAATTTACAAAATCCAGAATTATTTTTGAAAAACTGAGGGTTTTCTCAAAAAAAAAGAAAAAAAAAAAACCCGTGCCCAAAAATTTCAAATATGGAAACAAAAGGTTTATTGTTTTTGAAAAAAACAAAGACAGCCAAATTTTTTAAATTAATAATGAAAGTGTTTGAAATTGATCCACCAAAAAAGCCCAATGGTCTATGCCAAAAATCCCAAATAGATTTAGCATAGCATACAGAAACATAGAATCATTCTAAAAAGTCGAGTGTTTTATAGAAATAGATAAAAATCAAACCCAAAAATTGGAAATATGTAAAAAAGTATTTGAAATAAATCTACCAAAAAAATAAAACAAAAGAAAAAAGAGAATACATTTAAAAAAGAAAAAAAATACAATTAAACTCAAAAAATCTTTCTTAAACTTTTGTTTAAAATTTAAAGTTCAAATGATTTGATAAACATAAATTTTTTTTTGAGAGAAATCATTTTAGATATAAAAAAAAAAGTAAACAATTTGCATCCCTTTTGGGGTTTGAGAGAAACCATATTTTCTATAAAAATTATAGAAATTGTATTGGGTTCCGATCCTAAATTTTGATTAAGAATCATGTTAATTAATAGGATATTATTGGGAACTAAGACCACCTTTCACTCCTTGTTGCAGTTAACCCCTTACTACAACAAATCCAATATCGTGAAAACAACTCATCTATCATTGGTAAATAGATTTCAAGAAATTCATACACCCCATAATCATATTACGGCGTAGTAAATTTAGGGAAAATAAAAGGAACTTGATAGAAGTACAAATAGGAAAGCGAAATCCCAACATTGTACTACAAACTACAACTTAAGTACTATCAACATAAATATATGTCTTCGTCATCATCATCATCATCATCCTAGTTAAATATATGTCATCATCATCATCATCCAAGCTTTATCCAGATCATTTAAGATCAGTTAATGATAGTATATTGGAAAGTTTAATCTCATGGATGTCACATGTATCTCAAGAATTAAGATTTAATCAAGAATTCTAATCTAATTGGACTCGAATGAGTATCCTAACTTACTTAGAAAACTTATAAATATCAATATTAATGTCAATAGCAGTCTCGTATACCATAAGATTTTCTTAGGTGAGTGATTTTGAATATATACATATATAGCAAACAAGTGGAAACTTTTTCGATAGTGGTTCAAGCAAAGTTGCAATAGCTTGGTCTTGGGAGCAACTAGTCTAGGCCAAAATCGTAGACCAATTGGAAATTTTAAAAAAATATACAAATTAAAAAAGGAGAGATGGATCACGTTGGGTTGACAATGGCCCTTAGCTTAAGGGCCCCTTAGCCTAGCTCTTGGGCCAAGGTGGTTAGCCCAACTTCCAGGTCAAATTTTGCGGCTCCCGCCGTAGTTTTTTAGGGCTTGTACGACCAGCCGTACAAGCCGTCTAAGTGGAGAGAGCAAAAACAAATGTTTGAAATGATAAAAGTAATGTTGATGTAATCTAAGATCATTTATAATTCACTAGTTCAATAAAATTAGTTATGATAATAAATTATTTGTTATCTAACTATGTCCATCACAACATCGTAAAGTTATCTCAGATAAACTTTGAGATAGTTTTAAATATAAGATAAACTTATGAAAAGTTGTTTCTACTCTATTCAAAGTAATTTTTGACATCATGTTATTGATTAAAAATAACTACAAATAGCCTGAAAATTACTGAAATGTTTAATATTTAAATGATATTATATATAATACAAAACACATATCAAATAATTAATAAAATAATATAATTCATAATATAATAATTTCATATAAGATAATATATTCTATACAAAATTTATAGGTCCATCTTGTAATATACAAGTAAGGCGTACTTCTAAATTTTGTCAAAAGATGTCGTTTTAGTATCGAAAGCCCTATGATGGCTTGAAAAATCATGTTCAACTCTAGTTTTAAATTTTAAATCTTTAAAAGTGGTGTAGTATTGGGCATATTTATACACATTTACAAATTTTGAAAATAAACAGCTCGGATAATTTATTACAAGATGCATTATTTTTTAGCTAGAAATTTTTGTTTTATAGATCAATACACTGCAACCTATTTAAAAATCATGTTTTTATATATCAATGGAAGGTTTCCTAACTTCAATAATACGCTATTGACCTAGGGCTTTGGTGGTAGTATTGTTGAATCCCATGATAAGATCTCTAACTCCATTCTCATCAAAAGGGTTAGAGCTTACATCCCACTGAAGCATCCAACTCCAATTTCACCAAAACTGCCTTTAATTTCACCAAAACTTAGGGTCCCAAATCCCCTGACCTACCACTTTCCATACCCAAAAATAAATAAAAAAAAGCAATACTCTTTTTATCGTAATTTTTCCCAAAAATTACAAAAACCCCCTTGACGGATCTGCCATTACAACCAACCCCCAAGTCATTTCTTAATCACAACATTTATCCCAAACCAACCTTTTCTATTAAATACCCCCAGTCAAAAGGTGTAGCTTTTAGGACCAAAATGCCCTTTCTTTCTTCTAACATCGATTACTTAAGTTTACCCATAACACTAAAAAGAGCACTCCGGAAGTATAAACTGGTACTGCAATATCTCAAGCGGTTCGGTACTGGCAAAGAATGGATCGGCACTGCCAAAGAGTGGTCCGGCAATAGACCCATACGGTTCGGCAACTGGCCCAACATGTGATCCGTAAAATGGTCTAATACTTTTTTTAATTAATTGGGGTTTGGCAATTGGTATATGGCTGTCTGATAGTCCACGTAACTCACGTGAATGTCTGGCCAAAATTAACTATTTATGTAAAAAAAATATTTTTATAAAAAAAATGTGCAGAGTTTTTTAGTCGGAGGCTTTTGCTAAAAAATTATATTTTGGGATAAAAAATGAGAAAACAGCGAACTTGGAAACTCGTAACTTTGGCGGTGTACCTTGTTTTATGCTCTCTTTGTAGAACGGTTGCCTCGTCCCCTCTGTCTCTCTATCTCTTCCATCTCAGTCTACTGATTCCTTCTCTCTCTACAAAGGATTCATTTGGTGGGTGTCATGGGCGAGCAGCATAGAGCAAAGGGCATAAAAAGGGTTCTTCTCTCTCATCGAGAATTGGGTCCCCAACAAATAATCATCCCTCCTTCATGGTCCCAAGTTGCAGAGACCATCTCTCTCCAAAATGGACCCAACCATCCAATCGTCCTTGTCTGTGGACCCAAGAACGCGGGCAAGTCCACCTTCTCTCGCTATCTCATCAACACTCTTCTAAACAGCAGGTGCTTCCCTTCATTTCAATGGCACTTCCTCTTTCTCTCTCTACTGGGTGTCCTTTTTTGTGGGTGCCCCTTTTTGTTGTCGCTACGCGAGAACGAAGTACTTGACTCAGTTCTGTGGGGTGGTTTCTCTCGCTAGAGTGGTACTTGATATAATGCCATGGAATTTTCTCTATCTCTGCCTCTCTTCGTTTATTTGAGTTTCTCATTATTATGACAGAAGTAGGTACTCGATTCAATTCCATGGCAGTTTCTCTCTCTAGAGTGGGTAATAGATACAATACCATTGGAGTGTCTCTGTTATTGTGACATAAGTTGGTACTTGATTCAATTGCAGGCCAATTTCTCTCTCTAGAGTGGGTACTCGATACAATGCCATTGCAGCCTTTCTGTCTTGATTTGTTAGGGTTTGTTGCAGGTATCAGAGAGTTGGGTACTTGGATACGGATGTTGGGCAACCAGAGTATACACCCCCGGGTTGTCTCTCACTTCATGTTATCGATACACAAACTCCAGGTATGCTATAATCGGTTTTTATGGACTGCACCTCTAAGAGCTCGAATTCTGAAAATTCTCTGGATGGATCTTTTAGATTTGTTCGAAATCATCATTTAATAATTTGTTTCTTCGTTTCTTTGTTGCAGATTTAGCTGTTCCATGCCTAAAAACACCTGAGAGGTAACGCTTACTACACGGGATCCCCCAGTTCTATGCTCGCTTTTTGCCACCTTTATTTTTTATTTTTTGGTACTTTTCGTAGAGGTAAAATTCTATGGAAGATGGCAAACATAGATAGAAAATGGATTCTTTATTGATTTTTTCGTAAGACTTTGATGCATTCTTTTTTGTATTTTTTAAACTTCCCAGTATATTCGGAAGGAAAATTTATTGTTTTCAGAAAAATAAATAGTTTTTCATATGACAATGTGTGACATTGTGCACCTACATGGAATTGTGATCGAGAAGACAAGAAAACATTCCTGTTTTTCTATGAAATACAATGCCTTTCTATTTTAGTTTTTACATCATTGAGCCAGTTTTCTAGAGCTGATCACCTTTCTATTTCAAAGTTACTGTGTTCTTGCAAATAAGTGGTATACATGAAAGGTAGTTTTCATACTCTTTTTCCCCTGTAAATTCATATTCAGGTCTTGTGTCTGGGAATTTACACTTGAACTTGGACACTTAAAATTCTTGCTAAGTTGCTTATTGCCAGGTGTTTTTTCTATGGTGATATTTCATCGAAGAGAGACCCAGATGCTTATTTGGATTGTGTTTTCAACCTTTACAACTACTTCCGTGAGGAGTACAAATTATCAAATGAACAGGAATTTCATGAAACATATCATTTACCTCTTGTTGTTAACACACCTGGATGGGTGAAAGGTAAGTTCCACTATGGTGATAACTATTTCTTAAGTCTAGCTTATTGCTTTGGCTGAATAGCTGTTACAGTAACCATTTGTTGCCTGAATGACATCTTGTAATTATATCATCTCATACTCATGGGTATTTCTTTTGATTAGAAGTGCAAGATTTTGCTGAATATTTAATTTCTCTCTGATTCGTCTTCTGAATTTTGTTCTTTCCATTTTCCTTAAAGGTGTTGGTTATGATATTCTGGTGAATATGCTGAGGTATATAGGCCCCACACATGTGGTTCGGATACAAATATCTGATTCCAACAAGAATCTACCAGCTGGGGCTTTCTGGTTCGGTGGAGATGAAGAGAGGCCTGTTGATTTAATCAACATCGATTCAGCACAGATAGACTCCTTGAATAGATCGTGAGTTCTTGAGTAGATATTCATACCCTTTGTTCTGAGACGCATTCTTTGAACATTAGTGGCTTAGTTAATTGCTCCCTAGGAAGGTATATTTGTACTTTGTCGAATAAGTTTGCTTATGGAGTTCTCTTTTGAGTTTCTTTTTTTCTTTTTTTTGGGAAGTTAGTTCTCTTGTTAGTTCTGCTCAGTCTTTTGGGAGATAATTCATTATCTGCCATGAAACCTTTTGTACAATAAAAATACTTTCTTAGAGAATTCATCATCTGCCTTGAAAAATTTTGTACACCCAAAGGTCTAATATGTTCCTTGTGAGCATGAGTACTTGTCGTTATTTTTTATGTGCTGTTCCTTTAACTCTCGTTTGGTAGGAAAAAAAGGTTGCTATGGTACATGTTTATATCCTGCATGGAGAACACATATGTTACAGTTTATTTTTCCCTTAAAATTTATCATGCTGCGGCAAAATGTGTTTGTGTCTATGACATGTGGATCATTCTATAAGCCTTCTATTAGTACCACGTGGATTTGCATGAACGCCAAACTGAGATTTGATATATTCCTTTGAAACAAGTTTAATTAATGATCCAACAAAATCTCAACATTCAGTTTGGCACACCATTACCATGATAATTTCAGCCTCTCTTGGCTGCTTACTAAAGTATCAAAAAGTGGATGTTGGGTCCTATACCACTAGCCAGGAGTAAATCCTAGTTCTCTCCCCTGCGCACTCATAAAGGCTCCTATCACTGTCCTACACAGTCGGAAAATATATCAGGTGGTCCATGCAAACTTGCCTGATGTAGACCAAAATATTTTTGAAATAGGAAACTGATGAAATAGATAAATAAATTTTCAAAAGTAAAGAAAAAAAACAGGAAAGAAAGTAGAAGAGCAAAACTCATTGTCCATGGCTCCATGTTGATAAATTAAATGGCTTCCTAATTACTGTTCCATCCAGTGTTTTAAAATCCAATGATTTCCGATCCAGATCGTTGATTCGGATGGGAATCGATCGGGACCAAGTAGGTTTCGGGATGGTATGGGTTCTGACTTGGTTCCCCTATATATATATATATATATATATATATATAGTAAGTAAGTATAGTATACTAACTATTTACGTTAGTATAGTAGGTGTACACTATTATCTACGTACTAGTGTAGTGTAGTAAGTAGTAGTGTCTGTACTATTACTACTACTAAC